AATCAAAGTACCCTGCTTACCTTCTTAACAGCAAATTGGTGTCCTAGTACAAATAATCCCATTGTTGGGTATACAGGTTGACCATCTCTAGTCTGGAACCTGACCAGACAGTGAGAGGTGAATAATATCTAGCAGCATTACCAACACTTCCACAGTTTACTGGGCTCTCAGAAGACATTTGGGATAAATAATGGGTCAGAACACGGAGAGACAGGATGGTAGCTAAAAGTAAAATTTGTGAGACACTGGGAAAGTTGACTACACACATGGTAAGGGGACATCCAGCTAACTAAAATCATGCTAGACCACAGATTCTGGTGGACCAGAGAGTGCCAGATTAGAGAAATTTAATCTGTAGTAGCATTAGAGATGGGAGAAGAATTATCTGATATAGCATATTCAGCCATGCTATCTTTAAAAATACCAAGTAATTGAAACTTCTATCTTATGTGAAAATTATCCACAGTTTTAGCCTCCAGAGACCTTTAAAAATGCTGCCTTTTAAATTGATTCAGGGTCTTATTTCTAATCCAGCAAATTAACATTATCGCCTTTCCTAGGGACACCTATCTGGAAGGTCTAAAAGACTTCATTATAGTAGGGCCCCATAAAACTGATGGGTGACTTCTGGTAAGCTTTTATCATTAATAATAGGAATTTCCATTTTCTCTGTAATGCTTTCCTCCTGAGAAAAAAAAAAATGTGTTTCTTTAGAGTATGTAGTAACTTGTTACTGTGATAATAACTATCCATAGCCCTTGGAGAGAAAGCAAAGTGCTGGCACGGATCTTTGGGCAGACTTGTTTGCTAGGATTATCAGCCTAAGGCAGGGAGCTATGCGATCTTAAAAAACCAAACTAGGAAAAAGAAAGCCACGCCTTGCCTCCCAAGAGGTGATAGTTGGGAACCCAAAACCGGGGGGGGGGCGTCAAAGTTGCATTTAGGCAGGAAGCTGAGACATTGTTCTTTGGGCTGCTCCATAGCTATTAATGATGGAATAGTGGATCATGATAATGGAATTGCCATTAAATAACATTTTTACAGTTACACATCCTAAGTATTGTATATGTCATTCATGTGTCATATAGAGATGGGAAATAGTTGAATAGCTTAATGTGAATCAAGCCTAAGTGAATGGAATTCAAGCCTGACAATATTCCTAGTTCACTTTTTGCTCCTGCATAAAAAAACAATCCTGTGAAAATCTGTTCACTTTTTTCTTGCACATGTGTACGGGAAAGGGCACAGAAAGGGAGAGAAATTTGGAGATGTTGTAGAATGGTAGATGACTGTGGGAGTCATTTCTTATTCTGCATAAAGTTATCTATCCCTTTAAAGGCCTGAAACAGTCACATTCCTCAAAATAGTTATGTGGCATGTAGGATACTACCTGCTCTTATGAACAAAAGGATGTTGCAATCTCTGGTCTATGTTGAGGAAAGAGGGAAGGCAGTAGAAATAGTACAGAATCAATAGTTTGGAAAAGGGAAAGATGCTCTCTGGACTATAGGTGGGCATTGACTTTGGTTAGGGTTCCATTGTCAGCCTTCAATTCCTGACTTTGTACTGTCTGTATTTTAGTACTTCCTGTAGGCCAGACTCCCATTCTACTAGGTACTATACGGTGCTGCCTAAAAGAGATTACGTTCCATACTTTAGACAAAAGACCAAGCGGCTGTGACAGAGGGTGGGTCAGGAAAGAATACAAAGAAATGTAGTATTTATTGTGATCATCACTCCACAATTAAAGATGAGGCTAGCTTCCCATTATAAGGAAGAATTTTTTAAAAAAAACCTCAGCCCACTGTCTTCAGAATACTTGAAATTTCTATGTCACATCTTGTGGAGTTTTTCCTGGAAATGTGGATGTTGGTATGGAACAGATCAATGAGTTTTCCACAATGTATGCATACTACTGTTGATTGTTACTTTCACATTGCTTGATATCATGTAAATTATGGCTCATTGTGACACTACAAAACAATAAATGCAAGCAGGAGTAAGTCTATCTTTAAAGGTGCAGGTAGTGCACTGGACGTGGTTGTTAAACAAATTATTTTTCTCTATAGATGGTTTTTCCAGAGCAAGTATTTCAGAATGGGGGACCATATACAGAACAAATGGAAACTTTCATTATCTGTATGAATAATAGTTCACACTTCATATACTGGGTCATATCTTCAGCTACTTTAAGTCTTGTGAACCGCTGCTGTAGTTGACAGAACTATGTTGACCTATGTTTATAAAGGATCTGCCTTACAATGAGCATTTGTCTATTTCATGCAGACCTACATTTTCTTGTTTTAAAGTAATTGGATGTACTGCACAATTCCACTTAGTCTTATGTTCATGTTGCAGCCTGCACAGTGGCACAGGATGTCAATTTCTGGTGATCTTGTTTCTATTGCCCAATCAAGAGAGGGTTTTTTTTTTTTTTTTTTTTTTTTTTACAAAAAAAATAAAAAATCTTGCATTCTAGTAGAATCTATAAGACTGACTAAGGATTAATCTATTGTTGGGCTGTCACACACACACTTGATTATAAAAAAAATTATGATATCCTATAGTTGGTGACTGACCCAGAAATCTTAAAGTAACTTTAAACTGTCCAGTTTATTTTTCTGCTACATCTTCTATCACTGAATAGAAACTTGGACCATGAGTAATTTGATTAGACTGTGAGTATTTGCAATAAAAGGTAATATTCAATGGAAGGCAAGTATCTGGACTTGAATGCTTTCCCCTTAGGATGGATATCAAAAGGAGATCTTTGAATGCCAGGCTCCTAACTTTGCAGAGAGGAGGGAAATTGAATTTTTGGTCAAATCCAGTTTCGCTAAAACAATCCAATGAATAAAACCATGGGAAGGAATGATTTGACTTAACACCACATTGTTTCAAAGTAGCCAAAATCACTGAGATGCCTAAATGATAGTTAGTCCATGCTTGATGCTACAATAATATACTAAAAACAGTACACATGATTAATTATAAAGGTCACTCAGGGTGAAGTTTAATTACCTTTTTGCAATGAACTACTTCTTTTACCAACATTTTAATAGTCAAGTTTGTTCTTCCTGCATGCATCAGATGTCTTCTACCATATCTGATAAACATAAAGAGAAAAACTCTTGGTTAATGGTTTGTGAAAGGAATTAAGGTGAGTGAACCATTAGAGAACACGTAGTATCCCTTCCAGAGATCTTGGGAAAATAGAGTATACATGATAGATGGGTGCGTGGGATTTTGCTTTACCACTCTAACAGTTCAGTCCTTCTGTGGACAGCATACATTGTACTAGGTCACTACTTCTGTGCTGTATTGTAAATCACTGCCCAACATATAAATGGTTCTATCAGTCCCATAAATACTTGTGTGTACAGTAATAGGAGGATCTTGTCACAACCCCTATACTTCAGCTCCTTAACCCTTTTTTGGTGTAAAGACTCTTTTGTGGCCTTTATCTCTTTTTCTTTAGAAGCTCTAACTCCTCCAAAATGTAGCTTTGAAATGTGACCGGAAAGAAACCTAGAGGTGTGCCTTTTAGGGTCCCATGAAATACCTATTCAGTTTAGCTGAGAAAGAAACTGTTAAATCAGTTAACCTTACCTCACTTTTGTTTCTCTAGGCAACTTGGCAGTCTGTTAAAAATAATGTCTGAACACAAATATTCTAAAGAGCCCAGACCATTCCATTTCCACAGTCACCCAGCAATAGCAGACCAAAAAAAACCCACCCACTACCACCTGTACTGGGAATGCCTGGGACTCAGAGAAGCTATAAGAGGGGAACTAGAACTAGGCTGGGTTACCACCAAATGTAACACTGTTGCAATATCTCACTACAGCCATGTACACCCAGGAGGCAGGAATTCCCCTCAACTACCAGATTGAGGATAGATGGGGAGAGAGTGGATTTGACTCCCTCTATTGCTCCAAGCCCCCAGATCCAGCTCATGATCTCAGCAGCTTATCCTTCTACTGAGGCGGGAAGAAGTCCCTTTCTTTATGTGGGGGGTGAAGAGAGACAGAATTGGGATTTAACTACTCTTCAAGCTGTGCCAGCTTTACCCATGCTAGCAATAAAAGTAATGGTGTAGACTGGTCAAGAGGGGCTTAAGCAATGCAAATAGGTACATAGGGTCTATAGCATGTTTATACAGTCTGAGCTCAATACCACTCCACTGCATTTATGTTGCTATATTCAGCTATGCTTGAATAGGTAAAGTTTACCGGTCTCATGCCAGACTGTAATGTAGATATACCCAGAGTGATGAACTAAGCCAGGCCTGGCCTGGCATGGTTTCTTCAATACCCCTGCGTCAGCACCCTCTACTACCATTCTCTTGCTACCAACACATGCACCTAGTCCTATAGCACATGTAGTAACAGTCCTGGTAGACAGTTTTATACACAACTGTAACAATCAAACTACTATCACATGTTAATTGATAAGCTGTATTGTCAAATGCATGAGCATTCTTGGGTTCATTATAAAATGTAGTCATGAGCCCAAATAATGAATAACGGTCAGGTTTACTGCCACCAGACTCATACTATAATACAGGAAAAAGGTTCAATATGATACAAGTTTCCAGGAAAGCCATCTCACACATGGTGGTTATGTTCATCATAAGGCAGGTTTGCTACCAATGTCACAACCCATTTTTTTTAAACAACCAGTTAGTGCATTTAAAAAAAATGAAGGTAGTGTGTATGTTCATGAAGGGCAATCTAGGCTAGTGAGTGGGCTACATACATGGGTGGTCCTCCTTTATCTCGTGGGCCACAAGATTGAAATAATCAAGATGATCTCCCAGTACAAGGAAGTTTTGCTAACTCTGTTTGCGTACCTAGAATTCACGGGATTCCAGTTGCTTTGGATGCAAAGGGAATACACAGCTCTCAGTCAATGTGTGCAGTCAGCACACACTTCGATTCATGTACCCTTGCTTTGTGTCAATTTGGTAATACTGGTAGGGTTAAAAAAAATGACACACACACAGAAAACAGAGGGATCTGGCAACCAACAGTAAACAATGCCTCCCGGGCCAGACCTAGAATCTCCATGGGTTGCATGTGGCCCACAAGTTCCTCACCAAAGGAGTATGTCAACTGAAGTTTATATTTAACAAATAATCTTCTACCTTGTTTTTCAGTACCATTTTGTGCTTCTTATCTCTCCTTGTGAACACATGCAATTCAGATACTAAGGAGTAAGAAGATACATCTTAGGTTTGTACGAAGGTCAAACATTCAGATACCTTGTGCTTTTCCCTTGAGACATTTGAGCATTAGCCTGTGAAAATAATGCCCTACCTCTTGCTATGATTAAAAAAGCTCATATATCCTGATGCTGACAATCTTCCTGTCCACATAAACCACTTATTTTAGGTGTTATGGGATACTTTGGCTGAAAGAACAGAATTGGGGATCGGGATGGAGTGTGATACGTTGTTAACATAACTTCCTAACACTTTTAATAAGTCTAATATGAGTATTGATTGATACTTCAAAACAATTTAAAAAAAGAACTTAAAGTAAAAGTGCAAGTCTTAAAGTGAAGCAGTGAAAAACTAAGAAACAATATATTTACAGTTTCCAAAAAGAATCTTTAAAGATCCAGTTGGTCAAATGGAACAGAAGGGTTGCTAAGCCCATCACACAAGAAAATCAAATGTGCCCACAAAGATCTCCCGCCAACCAGAAAAGATAGATGTCAGGGACTTTGGGTCAACAAGTATAGAAAGAATATCTGCAAGAGGCAGGTAGGCAATAGGATGGTGAAATATCTGGAGCCAAGGCATGACCTACAAGTTCAGGATTGGATTGGATATGCTGTTTTACTGGGTAGACAAGGAAACATTAGTGAATGGAACATACTGTTGCTAATGATGCTACTTCACATGAACTGTATGAATTACATGCGACTTCAGATTTTGAAGGAAAGTGTGAATACTGAGTGACTTATCAGACAGAACTTGTATCCTGCAAGAGAATGAAGGCCAAAGATTATGCAAGTGAACTGTTGGTTAGGAAACTGATGTAAGATAATTTTAGTTTTGTGGAACATTGAATGTAAGGGTGTGTATTTTGAATGGGGACCCCCATCTCAGTAGAAGGGGCTCCAATCTTCAATGGGAGAAGCTAGTTAGAGAGGAGGTCATAATTCAAAGTTATGGTGAAAAGAGGGAACAAATGAGCACTGATTTAACACAAATGTAGAAAAAGAATTATCAAGGCACAGAGATTTGAAGAGAAGAATTGCGTATAAATCAATGCTAGACGCCTCAATAATAAACAAGAGGAATTGGATTTGTTAATTTAACATAAATTTGGAACATCATGGGAAAAGTCACGACTAGAATGTTATTAGCTATGACTGTTAAACTTTGCAATGATAGTACTTTGTAGATTGTACAAAGATTTAGGGAATAGTAAATAATGAGGATGGAACATTGATACCAAGCAAACTGGATAGCTTGGTAAACTGAGCTCAAGCAAACAGTGTTTTGATATATCCAAATTCTAGGAACAAAAAGCATACTCCATTTTACAGGATGCAAGAATTTATCCTGGGAAGCAGTGACTCTGTGAGGGTATGTCTACACTACCCTCCTAGTTCGAACTAGGAGGGTAATGTAGGCATACCGTACTTGCAAATGAAGCCTGGGATTTGAATTTCCCGGGCTTCATTTGTATAAGCGGAGAGACGCCATTTTTAAAACCCCGCTGGTTCGAACTCCGTGCAGCGCAGCTACACGAGGCACGAACTAGAAACCTAGTTCGAACTACCATTACTCCTCGTGAAATGAGGAGTAACGGTAGTTCGAACTAGGAAGCCCAGTTCGAACTACCTAGTTCGCTCCCCACTTATGCCAATGAAGTCCGGGAAATTCAAATCCCGGGCTTCATTTGCAAGTGCGGTATGCCTACATTACCCTCCTAGTTCGAACTAGGAGGGTAGTGTAGACATACCTAAAGAGACTTGAGTGTAGAGTCATGATCAGAAAAATCAAATGCCCCAAAATGGCTAAGCAGCTGAAAAGGAGCTAGGAATTTTGAATGAGACAAATATCATTCTAGGAAGTTCTATGAAAGGCAAAGAAAATAACTGCCCCCTCTCTACTTGACCATGGTGAGGCCTTAGCTTGAGTATTATGCCCAGTTTTGGCATGCCACACTTTAAGAAATGTGTGGTCAAATTGAGAAGAGTCTAGAAGACAGCAGTAAAAATAATAACGTTTTAAAATCCTGGTCGATGAGGAAAGGTTTAAAGGAATAAACTGTATGTTGATTCCTCAGAAAGGAAGATGGGAGTGGGAGGGAACCTGATAAGTCTTCATATCTGTTAAGGGCTATTTATAAAGAAGACGATGATCAATTGTTCTTAGAGTATCCTGAAAGTAGGACAGGAAGGCATCTGCTTAACTTGCAGCAAGAGGAAATTTAGGTTATACTGTATATTGGCAACCCCTTTTTCAGTCTAAGGGTATCTATAATATACTTCCAAGGAAGACTGTGAAATCCTAGTAATTCAAAGTTTTAAAAACATATTAGATGATCCTTCCCTGGTGTTTGGTTACATTTACTTGTTTATACCTCAGAGGTATAAGACCTCTCCAGGTCCCTTTTAGCCCTGAATTATTATTTCAATTATTCTCTAGTCCCTGGATTTACGGTCCAAATGACAATGCATAACACACAGATTAGACAGACAAACTGATGAAATACCAGAAACAACAGTGTCTTAGGTAATTCTTAACCAATCAGTAACATTGATCACAACTTATGGCTAAAAGAGCCTAGTCTCTTGAAAATTATCCATCCAATTTAGAATAAATGTTACATTTCTTGAAGTTTTTATATCACATACCTTGATAATGTCTAATTACCCTTACTTTTTAAAAGTTGCATTCTACTTCCAGTTTTCACATTTCTAACCTCAGCTTTCAGCCTTTTTTCAATATCACTTCTTCTGCTAAGTGGTCCCATAATATTCGATATCTTCTTTCAGTGTGTTTATGCAACACGATCAAGTTGTCTCAGATTTCTCTGATAAGACAAGCAGATTGGAAAATAGTGAAATGCTCAAAGAAGAGCTACA